ATCCTTGTGCCAAAAGCACCCCCTAATTTTCCCTTTCCCTGCTCTCCACCCCAACTCTGGTAGCAGAAGCAGGGACTTCCTCACTTCTACCTCTCCTTATGGGAGGCAACAGGAACAAAGACTATCCTATCTCCAGGTACTGGTCATAGAGGAGGAGGAACTTAAAATCTGGGGGGGGGGGTGGCAATTACATCCACTTGTCTGAAGCTCTTTGGTAACTTGTGAATTAAAAGCTAGATAATACAGTAAACTGGAAGAGCACATTTGTGCTGAGGGAACGTGGAGAAGCCCTCTCAGTTAATGGATGATGTAATCTAATACGAAAGGGGCTAAGATGGCAATTTATTTAAATAAAAGAAAATGAAAACTGCTAATATATACCTCTTCTTATGATCCAAAGCAACTGAATCTTAATAAATCAAAACATATGTTTTCTTCTTGCAATTTGTCTGAAATGTGTTTCTTTTGTCCTTGTCAGAAGAGGCATGCTTAATAGAAGTCGTTTAAAAACCACACCCTTTCAGCCTCCATTTGTGCTGACAGCTCTTTCAGAACTAGGAAAGACGCACAATTGCAAAATTTTTGTCAGTCACCTGGTTAGGAGCACATATATAAACTGATGCCTCCTATTATGGGATTGGCCTGAAGGTAAATTAAAAATAAGCTTAATGGACGCATGAAACTTACCTGATAGGAAAAACCAATAGCCAGCTGCATGAGAACTGTTACCAGAAATGAAGAGTTGGATTAAGGGTAGGTGATAAAGGAGTGAGGAAAGGTAGGAAAGAAATTCAGGAGGACTGGACAAGAAAGGATGAGAGCAAATACAGCTATGAAAGCTTAAACCTGCAAGACTTTTGGGACACCCTGTATAAGGAGCCTTAAAATTTAAAGAGATAAGACATGAAATGAAATCCCAGGATTATTTAAAAAAAAATTGTTGTTCCTCACCAAAAACCTTTCTTAAACCACCTTTTAAAACAGAAGATTCTTTTAAAAAGTTATTTCTACCATAAAGGTTATTTAGCTGCAACATATATAACATTCACTAATTTGCAAGTCACTCACTCATAGTTAACTCTAGACGTGAACACTACAGGAGTACAGTGGTTTTCTCCAGGGAGTCGGGCATGACATTAGAAGGCAGAAAAACAAGGAGGGAAGTCAGCCCCTGCTTCTCAAGATAATGGTCTTTTGCAAAACAGCAGAGATCTGTTAGTGCAAGGTTGAAGAAACTAGGAGGACAACTGGGTATTAGTGCAATGGTCTGGGTAATTTGCATTTTTCTTTTTCAATTTTTTTGGAGGGGATTGGGAGGAAAAGAAGTACCCCAACATTCTTGGAAATTCTGCCTAATTGCTTGGCCCTGTAGAGGTCCTCCGACCCTGGTAAACAGTCACAAGACAACTGTTTCAGCCTAATATATCTCAGGTTTGTCTTAAAGACTAAACAGTACCCTGATTATTCCATTACCCATTACATTTGGTAAGGGCAAAAAAAAAATCAGTCATTTGAAGCTCAAAATTAATATAGCAATCATCCTGACAGGAAATGAAATGCAACCTAGTCCATTACAAATGCTCCACCAAAGTTCAGTTTTAAAGAGTCATATAAAATGATTTTTTAAAAATCACATTTTAAAAAATCATCCAAATTATTCTTCTATGGACAGCTGTCTTAATCTTTGCCAGTCAATACTCACACACTTGGAGAGGTAGTTCAAAATAGAGTAGCATTTTAGCAGTTCAACCCATGCTTTTATTCAGGGTTTGGTGAACTAAAGGCATTAGGCCCTTCCATCCCTTCTATTCTTCAAATCAACAGAAGCTGAAAACATTTCTATTCAGTAATAATAGCCTGTCATAACTACAGAAATCCATCTTTACCGGGATAACATCTGGCTGGTATCACTAGAATAATCCTCATTCTTTGTCAGATAAATGCTTTTGGAAATAACTTTGACTAGGTCCCCACATTCACAGACTGGGGGTGGGGTTAGGTGAGGTGGGAACCACTTAGAGCCCTTTCATTCCCTTACCTCCCTCCCATCTCTGTCCTTAGCTTCTACTGGAGACGAAAGGCTAAGTTATTCCAAGAATGAATGTTGAGATCAACTTAGAAAGCAGATAATATAATACTTCAGGCCATACTTCCTTCCTATTCCCCACCTCACCAAATCCCTTCCTTACAAAGGTAGTGTTTATTTTTTGTTAATTTCCTATGTGGAAGGGAAGAATCATCTAGAAAAAGCTACTGATGGAGATGCTCCGTTTGTACTGCTCCCCCCTGGTGGCTGTCTCCCTGATATCACCCCACCCATCTTCCATATCACAAGACTGAAAATGGCCTTGACCTCCTCACTAATTCTCCCGGGAGGTTGGTGGGGGTGGGGGGGAGGAAAAGAATGAAACTTCTAAAAATAAATGATTGTCGCCAGTTAATTTACTGTAAAGATCTGTCTACAATCTGTCCCACTATGACTCCAGTGAATCTGTGACTGTGGTGAGCAAAAGACACCAACTAGCCTTGCTCCTTGTTGGGTGCTGCCTCCAAAGTTAGTAGGACCCACATCTCCAGTGAAGTCTGGAGATGCCTCCCCCACTCATGCACTAGGCCATTCCCTAAAGAAAGAAATCCTAGAAGCCTGGGGTCCTTCCTACTCGATCTTCTCCCATTACGATCAACCCCTCCTTGCCCTGATCCTCCTTCAGCAAAAGGACAGCCGCCTTTCCAGCTCAGCCCCAGGCACTGGTTGTCTCTGGCCGCTCGGACCAGAAGAGCACTCTATATTACACAACGCTCGCACCTGCAGGCGTTCCTCTGCGCAACACGCGCAAATCCGCCAGTCCTCGCATGGATCCGTCAAATAAGAAGAGCAAGACCCTTTCGGTTTGTGTGTGGATTAACATGCAGAGGGTGTGTGCATGCGCGCGCGCATGGCGGTGTACGCGCGTGCGTGCGCGCGCGCCGCGAGGGGTGGTGGCCACGGGATAGTGCCCCGGCCTGGGAATGAACTAGCGGGACTGTGCGCCAGGGCGCGTGCGGGTATGGCAGCTCCTGGCACGGAAGGAACGACGCAGACAGGCAACTCCCGCAAGACAGAGGGATGGCTTTTATTTGTTTTGTCATTTTCTCAAACCTTAAGCAGCCCCCCAGAAGGCGAGGGAACACCTGTGATCCTTCCCTAGCCAGCTTGGGTGGTCCAGTTTGGCATCCGCGCGTGCCCGGTGCTAAAAGGGGCGTAGTCCCGGCTGCGCGCGGCGGCCAGCAGAGGTTTGCAACGATCGAAAGCCTTCGCAGTTCCTATACACTGTGAGAAACGAAAACCCTCCCTGGGAATTTGGGGACATATTCTCAGAAAACCCCGGAAACAGCGAAGAGAAGCGCCTATTGTATCCTTGCCATCGGTGCTGTCACGTTGGTTCCTCGGTTATTCAAAGGGGGGAAATAAATTCAACAAAAGCCTGCTGATTCTAGAGTGACACAGTCTTGGGAGTGGGTGGGGTGGCGTGGCTCTGGGGAGACACCACCCTTCTCAATCAAACGAGATTTTAAAACCATAGCGGGGAAACGTGAACCCTCTGTTACAGAGAGACACAAAGCGGCACAATCCCCAGCGTACGATTCCCTAAGGCCATTTCCCCATGTAAAGATTTCATAGTAGATTTCCCCCCTTCTCGCTTTTAACTATATCACCACATGCCGTCCTGTTCCCTACAGGGAATATGCCAACGGGATCACAACGGCATCATAAGGACATGTCAGACTGCAAAACATGGCACACTGATTCTAAAAAGAGAGGAGGGGGAGAAAGCCCATCCTCTCCCTCCCTTCACCCCCTCCCCTCACTCCAGATACACACCTACTGCAGCATCCAGAGACAAGCCCTTACCGCCATCACGGCCACGGCGAAGGGCCGGCTCCGGAACGGACAGCGCTACCGGCTGCGGGTAAGCAAGGAACAAGAACCCGCGAAGGGAAGAGAAAGAAATCCACCCTTTCAGAATGCACTTTGCAGCCCGCAGCCCTGAGTGCGGCAACTGACGTTTGCAAAAAAGCACCTCGATTTTCCGAGTGACCAAGGCGGGGACGCAGCCGCGGTGCTGGACACAACACACACACACACACACACACACACACCCTCATTTCGGGGGGGAGGGAGTGAAATAGAAAAAAAAATACCTTCCCCCCTCAAGAAACGTCAATCTCAACATTCATCTGCTTTTTGAATTTTAGTTTTGGGCACAGGGAGAATAAAAATTGAGGACGAACTTGCCATCCATCCATCCGTCCATTCACAGCCACCTCCCAATCAGGCGAATCCACTCCACTGTAGCCAACATTTCCCCCGAATTCTGGGAAAGAAAGCCGGGCTGGGAGTGGGGACCCTAGCAAACCCTCCACCTGAAGCACACTTGTGCAGCCAAAGGAGACCCGGAGTGGGAAGGCGTCTTGTTGAAAATCCACCCCACGCCCTCCCGAGGGCTAAACGCAAAACAAGAAATTGGATGCAGGTTTCTGGGAGATTCGAAATTTCTTCTCCCTCATCCTCATCCAAACTGCCCCCCCCGGTCCCCACCCCCTCTTGGTCGTTGGCACTGGAAAAGATGCCCCTCACCCTACTGCGGCAAGTGGTATGGGGGAGGGGGACAGCAAGCCCCCCTCCTTTTTTTCCTTCGAGGTCATTGCAACTGGCGCCCCACCCTGTGCATTCAACACTTCGTTCCCCAGGTTAATGCAAAAGCTTTTATGCCTTAACCCGTTTTTCCTTCTTCCACACACGCTTTTCCTTTATGTGTCGCCAGTGAAATCCAGCCATCTTCCCCCACCCAGCTCTGCAGCCTGCGTCGCTGGGGTGGGGGTCACAGGCATCATTCTCTGCCCACCGGGCACTCAGCTCTCCAGCCCGAGGAGGGCAAAGTCGGCTGCAGCCTGGCGCAGAGATGGAGCTGGGGGGTGGGGAGCGGAGCAAAGCAGTTTCCCGAAGCCCCTGCGCTTACCTGCTTGGCGGGTGCGAGGGGAATACCGAGCGCGAAAAAGGTGGCGGTGGTGGCGGACGCGGTAGTGATGGGTGGCGGTGTATGGTGGGCGGAGGTGGGTGGCAGTGGGCGAGGACGGGCGCGCGTAGCCGAGGAGCAGAGTGCGCGACCACGGCGCCTCCCCGCGAACCAAGTAACTCAGCAGCAGCAGCGGCGGCAGCAGCACCAGCAGCGGCGGCAGCAGCACCAGCAGCGGCGGCAGCAGCACCAGCAGCACCAGCAGCAGCAGAGGCAGCAGGAGTGCGGGGGCGGAGGCCCAGAGCAGGCAGCAAGTGCAGAGCCGGAGAGCTAGCGCAAGCGCGACTCCCCGCCTGAAGGGCCCTCCCTTCCTCGCCGCCGTCTTCTCCTCCGGCCGCCAGAGGGAGCCCTCGAGCGACCGGGAGCCGGGCCCTCCCGTCTCTCCGTTGCCCCTGCCGCAAGTCTTCTTTCCTTTCCCCCCCGTGGTTCTCTCTTTCTCCCCTCCTCACCCCGTGAATCTCAACCGTAACCCCTCCCGCACCCACCGTAGAGCCTGGGTTCCCCAACACTGACAGGCGCGCGCGCGCTCGCGCTCCAGCGCATGCGCACGCGCCTCTCTCCCACCCCGTACACACACCCCCTTCTCCTGACAGCCTGGGGCCTTTGTCTCGTCAGAGAGACCTGGGGGCTTTCCTCTGGGGGGAGGGGGACACAGTGCGGGCTGCCAGCTCTGATTTAGCTCTGACACCCCCAGAGTCACAGAAGCACGGGCTGGGGCGGTCGCCTAGTCCAGAGAGGACCCCCATATCCCTCCCCCATTCCTTCTGCATCCCCCGGGTCCCAAGCACTGTCATAATCACAGCATCGTGGGGTTAGGGCTGAGGGGGACTTCAGGGTCGTCTAATCCATCCCCCCCCATTTTAACAGAGGAGGAAACGAGGCCCAGAAAGAGGTTAAGGGATTTGCTCAAGGTCGCAATGCAGGAAATTCACCAAGATGCCCAAGTCGCCCTCACCACTATTCCCATCTTCAAAAAACCATCACTTGGTCCTTCATTGATCCGTAGCTTGTGCCCTACATTTCTTCAACCTTCTGTGGCTCCTTGAGAAAGCCGTCTACATACAATCGACGCCTCATCTCCTTGTTTTCCCTCACTCTCTTCTTAATTGGGATTTGAACCCAGGTCCTCTGGCTGGGAATCAATCTTGCTGTGCATACTCCTTCACTTACCTCTCTTGTGCTCCTAAGTGGTCATTTCTGACTTCTCAGGGACAACCACTGTGGTGAGAGAGCATTAGTAGGAGTAAGGACTTGAGTTCAGCCTTGGACTTTTTACTAACTGGATGACCCTGGGCAAGTAATTCATATCACATCTGTGTTCTCAGTTTCCCCATCTGTAAAATGGAGATAATAGTACTTCCCAGAATTGTTATGAAGATAAAATGAGATATTTATAGAGTGCTTTCCAAACCTTTTTTTATTCTTGGGCTCAAAAATTACTGCAATCAGGGACTAAAGCCATGAAATTCCAAGGATCTTTGATCCTTGGAAGAAAAAGCTATGGTAAATCTGGACGGCATGCTAAAAAGCAGAGACATCACTTTTCCAACAGAGGTCCAGTATAGTCAAAGCTATGGTTTTTCCAATAGCAATATATATGGCTGTGAGAATTGGACCATAAAGACAGCTGAGTTCCGTAGAATCGAGTTTTTCAAAGACTTTTGAGTTCCTTGGACAGCAAGGAGGTCAAATCAGTTAATACTTAAAGAAATTAATTCAAGTTATTCATTAGAAGGTCAAATATGGAAGCTGAAGCTTAAATACTTTGGCCACATAATGAAAAGATGGGAATTAATAGAGAAGACCCTGATGTTGGAAAAGATTGAAGAAAAAAAGAAAAGGGGATGGCAGAAGATGAGAGGATGCGTGTCATGAAAACAACAAATACAAACTTGGACAGACATGGAGAGATGTTGGAGGATAGAAGGGCCTGGCATGCTATGGTCCTTGAGGTCACGGAGTTGGACACAACTGGACAACAAGAAATTGAAAACCTTAAAATGATGTATAAATGCTAGCTGTACAGCAGCAGCAGCAGTAGTAGTAGTTGTTGTTGTTAATGTCAGAGAGCCCCTCCCTCCTATTTTCCTTTGCCACACTGCGTTGAATAGGGAGATTCATATTTATTTGCTAAATACTGAGTATTTCTTAAGCAGGCCAGTTTTGAAAGGCTGCAGTTCATCAGAGTGGAAAGATCTGGGGATTGAGGGAGTTTCAGATCTAGGGGGGAGGGAGGATGATACAATGTCTTTGGAGTCAAAAGGCCTGGATTCCAATCCTGATTCTGCAATTTCTACCTGTGTGATCTTCTCCAAGTCGCTTAACATCTGTGGACTTCAATTTCCCCACATGTAAAATAAGAGAGAAGGTCCCTTCCAGCTCAAAATCTATGATTCTATGGGCTTGACTACTCCTCTGCTGTGTGACCTTGGACAGCTAGAAGGGCAGCAGGGTGTAGTGGACCGAGGGCTGGACTTGGGTTCCAGTATGGCCTCTCTTATGAACAAAGTACGTGACCTTGGACAAGTTATTTACCCTCCCTAGTTTCCTCTTCTGTAAATTAAGGTTTGGACTAGATTGATCCTTCTAGTCCTAACATATGGTTCTATAATTCATTGGGGCAAGGCAATCCTTTTACACCTGGGTGACTTACTATCTCACTCACCACAACAACTTTTGTAAACCTTTCACCCCTCTCTCAGTTGAGATTTTTCCTCCTCAGTTGAGATCCATTCTCTCAACTGAGACTTTTGCTCCATATTTCACAAGAAAAAAAAAGTTGGACATTTGCTGAGAGCTCCCTCTTTTCCTTTCCTCCTCACCTCAAATCATTCAGATTCCTTCTGTAACTATCTCCTCGACCCCTGTCTAACCTTCTCTCAAAGACAGCTCTACATATATGTGATTCCATTCCCTCCTCTCTAGCAGACTGCTCCCTTCTGTTATCCGTATTCTCTTACTGATCTTCAATCTCTACTTGTCTGCTGGCTGCTTCTTTACTGCTTACCAACATGTCCATTTCTCCCTAACCTCAAAAAATCCTCTCTTCATCAATCCCTTACAACCATCTATTGTCCCATGTCTCTACTGCCGTGTGTGGCTAAACTCCTTGAGAAACTCATTTACTGCCAATGCTTCCACTTCCATTTTTCCCATTTTCTTCTTAATTCTCTGTGCCCTGATTTCTGACCTCATTGTTCATCTGAAATTGCTCTCTCCAGTTACCAATGGTATCTTCTTTTTTTTGTTTTTTTAAAAAAAATTTTATTAATTTATTTTGATTTATCAACAATCACTTCTATATGCTTTTGAGTTGAAAATTTTCCTCTCCCTTCCTCCCCACCACGCTCCCCAAGACAGCGCACAATCTGATATAGGCTTTACATTTACGTACCCATTAAACATATTTTTGCATTAGTGAAGTTGTAAGTAAAAATTAAAACCAATAGGAGGAACCATCAGAAAGACAAAACAAACCCAACAGAAGGTAAAAATAAGCGATAGCGATTTGACTTCCATAGTTCTTTCTTTGGATGTGGACAGCATTTTCCATCCTGAGGCCTCTGGAGATGTCTTAGGTACTCCTAATGCTGAGAAGGGTTCAGTTTAACAATCTTAGTCATTGCATAACGTGGCTGTTATTGTGTACAAAGTCTTCTTGGTTCCAATGATATCTTCTTAATCATCAAATCTAATGGCCTTTTACTACAGCCTTTAACCCTATTGAACACCCTCTTCCTGATACTCTCTTTTCTCTATATTTTTGTGATTCTGTGCTCTCCTGTTCCCCTCCTATCTGTCTGACCACTCACTCCCCAGTGTCATCTCCTAGAGCTTCATCCAAGTCATGCTTGCTAACCATAGGTGTCCCCCAAGGCTCTGTCTTGGGCCCTCATTTATTCTCCCTCATGCTATTTCATTAGATGATCTCATCAGTTCCCTTGGATTCAATTACATCTTTATGCAGATTATTTTCAGATCTATTCCTCCAGCCCCAACCTATCTCTTGACCTCCGGTCTTTCATCTCCACCAGCATGAAAATGAACTGGATGTCCAGTAAATATCTAAAATTCAACCTATCTAAGCCTGAACTTATTTTCTTTCCTTCCAAACCCTTCCCTTTTCCTAACTTCCCTATTATTACTGTCAAGAGAATAACCATCCTCCAAGTCGCCCAGGCTTACAACCTAAGTATTATCCTCAATTCCTCACTCTCTTTTTACCCTTTATAGTCAATAAGTTGCCAAGTCTTGTCTTTTCTACTTGTAACATCTCTCTTATTGGCTCTCTTCTCTCCTCTGATGCTGGCACCACCTTCTCATCACCTTGCACCTGAACTATTGCAATAGTCTACTAGTTGACCTCCTTGCCTCAAGTCCATGCTGTCAAAATGACCTTCCCAAAGTGAAAGTCTGAACATGTCACCTTTCTCTTTTTCATGCAGCTTCAATGGCTCCCTGTTACCTCTGGGATCAAATATAAAATCCTCCACTTGGCCTTTAAAGCCCTCCATAGCCTTGCGCCTTCCTGACTTTTCAGTCTTATTATACCTTATACTGTCCCCCTGACCTCCATATACTCTGTGATCCATTGACACTGGTTTCCTTGCAGTTCCTCCAACTAGACATTTTATCTCCTGACCTGGCCTTTCCCCTAGCTGTCTCTCGTACTTGGAATGTTCTTCTTCCTTATCTCTGCCTCCTGACTTCCTTCAAGTCCCATCAACAAGAAGCCTTTCCTAAGTCCTCCTTCTTTTTAGTGCCTTCTCACTAAGATTATCTCCAAATTGCCCTGTGTATATCCCACTTGTACATGGCTGTTTGCATGTTGTCTCCCCACTTAGGCACATAGTAGATGCTTAATGAATGCTTGTTGTCTGACTACACTTAAGTCACTGATCCTCAGTTTTTTTCACTTGTAAAATGACATGTTATTTCTGGGGGTCCCATAGAAATAACTCTTGGGGGGAACCTTTCATTAATATCAGGTGTCTTTCCAGTGTTGACTTTTAAGTCCATGCAATTAATTTATACCACCCTTTCCCCAATCTACTGATTTAGAAATCATTTTATCACATTTTCAAAAACCTTAGTATGTTGTTCACAATTTTCCAATTCATACTACCATACTACCTCCATCATCATCCTTGAGTATTTAAAAATTCATAGTGACAACCCTTT